ATGGGCACTAGAGATGAAGAAAAATTATTGGAGATAAGTCTTAATTCAGCAACACTGTACAACAGCTGTGAAGCCCTGGTTTCCATGTCCAGGAGAACAGAGAAGCATATGTAGCTGAGAAACACTTCATTTCTGGGCAATGGAAAAGGACTAGTATGTGTTATAATTTAGTAAATACATGAATACTTGCTCTGCTTGACATAGGTGATTCCAGGGACTTTCTTACTTTGACAGAAAATAGAGTATTCTGTTTGCTAAATGACTTCAAAAGAAAAAAGGTTTTATTTCTTACTAGGATGTAAAGGGCTTAAAATAGGTACGTATGAGATCTTACAAAAAGTCAACAGCATAAATCATAAAGGAAAAGAAATACATTTGACCATGGTAAAATAAAAGCTTTGTTCTTTAAAAGACAACATTTAGAAATAAAAGAAGCCAGATTTATGATTCACATAACTGGCAAAGAATTAGTATTTATAATAAAAAGAATTTATGCAGATTAATAGAACAAAGACAACCCATTTGAAGGAGAGTAAAGAAAGAATGAAAAGAGCAAGAAGGTAGATGAGTGGATATATTGTAGGCTTGTTAATAACAGCAGGAGGTTTAAGAGTCCATTTATCTTTGTGTTTGGTCCTCATTTTGCTTTAACTTTATTGAAATGCCAGTTGAAAATTCTATAAAATAAAGGTCATAGTTACTATTAAGAATTTTAGATAATTTAGAATACTTACTGTGTAGCTATAACCTCATCAAGCCCTTTGGCTCTTCCTCCAACATCCACCCAAATCAGTCAGTTTCTCTGTGTTCATTATTAGCACTCTAGTCCAATCCAACATTACCTCTCACCTTGATTTCTAAATCGCCTGCTATGGCATGAAAGGATATATTTGATGTAATTGTTCAAATAAGACCAGAGGTTAACAATTGAGGTTCAATTTAGATTTTGAATAAAATAAAGGAAACCAAGCATCATTTTACAAGAGTCTCTTCACTTCATTGGAATGAAAGCTAGGCTGCAAAAGTGGTTGTTATGTAGTTCATTGTCGAAGTGAAGAACAGAGCTTTAGTTGGAAGTATTTTCGAAAATAATACTACAGAACTAAATTCTTGTCAGATTTGTCTTTTTGGATAAATCAGTTGGAACAAATGCCTTTCAACTAAATATTTTAAAGACACTCAAGAGTGAAATTCTGAGAGCACATTGTTATTATAAATGACTGCTGTGTCAGAGAAGAATAAATTGCAAATATACCCAGAGAGTAAAAGCCAACAAAATTTTGAATATTAATTCCATGATGGCAAATATTACTTTTACTTATTTTCTATATTTATTAGAATGGACTTCTATTGCTTGCGTGATCAGGAAAAAATAGTCTGTTATACTTTAAATAGAAGGATAGGATTTGGTTTCTTGCCCTTAGGTCACTTTTATCTACGGAGGGAATGACAAGTGCAAATTTTACTCTGCTACAAGGAAGAAGAGTGTGACAGAGTTTGTAAGAGCTGCCATTAGTCTTTGGGAGTGGTTG